CTATTCTACATACCGTATTAATAAACTCTAAAATCGATTAAATAAACCGTTAAAACCCCTAAATTGTATTTTTCGGGGGTTTCGCTCACTTGAAAGATTTTAAGCAACATCCGACCACACCAATTTTGCTCTCGGGAACATCACCATCCCCCCGCCCCCACCGTCATGGACATTGGATCCCCGTCGGGAAAATCCTGCCACCACCCCTGTGCCTGAATATCGAAGACCATACACATGCAAGGCGTTTATGGGCGATTCCATAGGTTGCTCAGAGAAGTACAGGATAGGGATGGGTTGCTGCCAGCAGGACAAACGTTATTTTGCATGCAGTGACTTTCCAGCTAACAACTTTAATAACGTCGCATTTCAGTGTTGATTTTTTTTAAAATTCCTAAATTAAACCGAGGTGGGGCGGATGCGGGCTGAGGTGAGAAAATTTTGAGAATATGGACCTCTAGGTGCCCAGAAATTGCACTCTCAAAATCTTTCCTGTACTATGTTCATAATGATAAAAATATATGAACAATGCAATACAACAGTTAGTTTTCTTAATACAATTTAGAAGGATGAGATCGCAACGTTTAATCTCCTCCACCCTGCATCCGCCCCAGCCGACTATGACCTAAATCTAGCCTAAAAGATTGGCACACTAATATACCGACGTTGACAAAAAAATGTACAATTCAACAAAATAGGCATGTACAATAATAGAAAACGTTCAGTAAAAGCACAAGCATTCTTCGAAAAAAAATTCTGGATTTCGTATACACACTTTCTTTAGTATACTGTATTGAACGTATGTGTACAGTACCAGCAGAATATGACAGAATATGATATACGAGGATCAAAACCGGGGGATCCGAATTGTTTTAGCAACATTATTAGAATAGAAGCGATCGTTTTAAAAGTCTCAGTTAGGGTAGGCATAATATTTTAACTGAATCTCAATCACAAAGTCGGCAGCAGGTTTCTAGTTATTATGCATTTTAGATATGCATAGGCCTAGACCTGCCTTCAGCAATGGTCTACTACTAGGGCTAGGCCTATATCTAATATTAAAACAATATTCTTACCTGACATTGTCGCAGTAGTTCGATACCTTTCAGCAATATAGGTGTGCAAAATGTTGAAACTAAAAATGATACCAGAATACACCAAATGGTGAATGAAAGCCGCGCAAACTACAAGAACACCGTATTGCATCTTGTCACTGTCTGAAATTAACTAGGCTAGGCCTAGGTCTAAGCTAGGCCCAATAATAATAATACCATAACTTTGGCCTAGGCCTATATGATGTCAAAGATGATAATAATAATAATAATTAATAATATCTAGGCTATGTGGAATCTTGATTGCGCGGCTATGTCGTGTAGAGGGCGACATAACACAATTTATAACATTTTCCTTCTCAACTAAAACATCTAATTAATCACGATTTAATATGACATTGTATCACCTTGTATTTATTGTAAAGTTAGTTTTCATAAGTTGTTTTTTCTTGTTAGCTCAATATTCTATCGTTCTGTTACATCTGTCACACACAGATATCCATAGCAACATCAAATCCAGTGCAAAAAAATGTGTGCGTGTGCGATCACAAAAAAAGAACATTGGGAACACGAGCTCCACACTGCACACTCTGCACATGAGA